CCTATTTCACGGTCCCAGTCATGATGAAAATCACCCAGCAACCAATACCTCGACCCAAGTTCCATAATGTTGTGATAGTCCCCACTTCGGAAGATTCCACAAATCGTGGCACAGTGGTTAAAAAAGCCTTGCTGAATTGGTACCCAACCTGGTAATGACTAACATAGCGAACTGGAAAATCACCATTTTTCATGGCTAAATCCACTATTTCAATGGTCATGTTCAATAGAAATCCACAATAAATGGTCATTTTCAATAGCTAACCGTTAGTCATTACCAGAGGGTAAGTCTTTGATTCGTGGCTTATCCCATCACAGAAATGGGATGATTTTCCTGGGATACTTGGTGATCGATCATCCCAACATGGGCGCCATTGATCATCAGTTACACATTCTTTGATGGAAAAAAAGGGCTCAACCGGTTATTTTGGAGCATATATATATACAGACATACATACATATATACACACATGTCACATATCCACAAAGCCGAGGTTGAATGAATATACCTTAGATATTCATCAAACATTATCACCAATTTTTCAGACTCTCCTAAGGTCTTCGTTCCATGACTTCATCCGTGCAGCCCGGAAACCCAAATGGATCCCCTGCAATCTGCTGGCGCCCAACTGCGTCATGTGCTGCGCTTGCTGCGACATCTCCTGCCCCGCAGTGTCTGTTGCTTTGTTAGCCATCTAATCATAGAAAGGAATCCCAGTTGACTATAGACATTCAAAAAAGACTATGGTGTAACCAATCATTCCCATTATGACCCAAATAAGATGTAAACAATGTAAACTTCAACTATAGTTTTTATTGCCGTAGTCCTGTTATTGAAGATATTAACAGCTTGACCAACGGCAAGGCTCTCTCTTTTGAGCCCAGCTTGTGATGCAAGTCTAGGGATCTCCAGCTGTTACCGTTTGGTTATGACTAACGGTTTGCGAACTGGAAAAGCCACCATTTTGGAGAGGTAAATCATCATGTTTATCCTCTATAAACGGACCATGTTCCATAGCTATGTTAAATAGCCAGAGGGTAAGAGCTTCGCCAGAGTACAAGGCTTTTCACCACCTAAATTGCCCTTGAAGTCTTGACTTTGTCGCTGCCATTGTCGCCATGAACGCAGATGGTGGTCCATTGGACAAGGCCAGGACGATGCAGGGTGGTTTTCCTGAACCGTGTTCACTTGTGATGAAACACTTTGGAAGCCAGCGGAGCCCGTCTAACTATATGAAGATATCCCAAATGATTTTTTTGTTACAATATCATACTATTACCCTTGGGGTAACATATTATCTAATTGGTGGTATACCTACCCCCCTGAAAAATATGAAAGTCAGATTGGATAATCATCCCAACTATTGGGGAAAATAAAACATATTCCAAACCACTAACCAGGTATCTATAGTTTTAATTGCCATCAATGCAGATCATTGGAGTTATGCTTTCTAACTTGACGCGCCTCCGGGATGCCATATTTCATCCTATTTCTGGGGGATAAACTGCCAATATTTCTACTAGAGTGTAGACATCCCCGAAAAAATCTTGGTATACATGATACACCAATAAATAAATACAATAAATACATCAATAAATACCCAAAAAATAAATGGTATACACCAATAAATACCATTTACCTGTAAATCACTGTAAATGATATACCTGTAAATGGTAAATGGATGTAAATGGTATACATTGGCATACACTCCATCTTCAGTTCACAGGTAAATCTTGGTCATATCTTTAATACATGATACACCAATAAATACAATTTACCTGTAAATCATGTATTAAAGATATTAATCTTGGTTTAACTGCTCATGGCCATGAATTAGTACCGAAAAACAATAGCATAAAATTACGTTTTTTTTTTTTTTACATCCATTTATATACCAGCTATTTTGATGTGAACACCAGGGCTACAAGTTAACTTGACCCATCCCCTTAGTGGTTGAATATGGGTCTAGATAGACATCCACGGATCTCCTAGTGGATCCAACAACCGTAAAAAAATCCGAAGTGCAAACGGCTGCTCCGTATCATCTCAGGATCTATAAACGGAAGGTAGTTACACACATCTGGTTACACATATCTGAATTCCAGGATCCTAAACTGGAGATACTGTTCCATATTTCAGGCCATATTTTGTGGGGATATTCCCTTCCATAGCTCTTACATAGGCCTTATATATGGTAGGTACCTCCAATGTTTCTCGGTTCCTGAAATGGCCATTGATCTATTAACTGGTTGGTTCCCAGCTCCCAGCTCGTAAAAGTTTAACGTCTAGTCATCAGGCATAAATCGGTATAAACTACCTCCGATCCCCAAGAGCCAGCCAAAAGTCTGGCTGGGAATGGCTGTGGTTTTCATAAGCCGATCGTTAGTGAGTTCTCCCCGATTTGTGGGGACTTACCCTCTGGTGAACATACAAAAAGCTATGGAAAATGGCCATAGAAATAGTGGATTTTCCAATTAAAAATGGTGATTTTCCATTGCTATGTTAGTTCACCAGAGGGTATCCCAACAAAAATAACTGGACTATGAACTGAGAATATGAACCAATTACTAAGTGGGATAATCCTCCAGGGCTGCCAGGCTTTCTTTTCCCGCCAGCATGGCTCGCTCGAAATAACCAGCTAAATCACACTCTTCGATGGTTTAAATCCACATTTTCATTGATTGAAAATCAGTTTTGGTTGGTGATATCTAAAAAGAACCACCAATTTTGTTGCTTGAAGATTTGGTGGTTGAATATTACCCTTTGGTAAACAAACAGTTTGCGATTGAAAATGGCCCATAGAAATAGTTGATTTACCCATTAATAGCATGGTGATTTTCCAGTTCGTTTTTTGTAAACGTTTACCAGAGGGTAATGGTATATAAATTCCATTAGATCCATATAAATTCCATGAAAAGAAATGTACATCCATGCAAATCAACCAGACTTTGGTTGAATATTACCCTCTGGTAAATTAATATAGACCCTGGTAGATAGGGGTTGGAAGATTAGTGTCCATTAAAAATTGGTGATTCTCAGGGTCTATGTTAATTTACCAGAGGGTAATGCTGTGTGACGTCCTACTTCACGTCCGACCCGACCCATTTTTGCCTGGAAGAAACCACCCAGTCGCTGTATAGGTGCAGGCGGCGGAGCTGTTGGCACCTGCGGGAGAACTTTCATAGAAAACCATGGAATCTATTTTTACGTGATATATATATATATTATATATTATATATTATATATATAATATATATATGTATGTGTCCTGTTTTTATGTGGTATGATTTATTTTCTCTGGTATTTGTTTAAACGTGTTTTTTTTTGTTTTAACACATGTTGAAAAACCATGGGGTGTATAAATTCATATGTGGAACATTAAAACAACATGGTATATGTATGTATATATGTATATTGGCTGTTATTTATCACCAAATAGTAAAAACATTGAGCATTTATCGCCAAGCGCTTCATATGGTGATATACTGAGGATACCATGGGACACATGAGAAAAGTAAAATGATGGACAATTTATAGTTAAGAGTAAAACAATTACCACTAGTTATTGCCATTTACTCAGCATCAAAAAGGGATATTGGGAAAATTTCTGAGTAGCCATATTTTAAGATCCAGAAAGTCTCAGTCATCTATAGTAATTTCCCGCTGAGTCAATTTCTACTCGATTCATCGACCTATTTTTTGGGTGAGGCATGACCTAAAAATTCGTGTGGTAGATACCTTCAAGCCCACCAGGCTTCGGAACTATCACCAGGCTTCAGGAGTTTCCGCTTGTAATGGCGAAAAAACCATCGTTCATCAGCAAAAATGAAGTTACTTTGCTGGCTATAACTTCAACCGTTGATAGGAAGATAAGAAGATGTAGGCGGAGTCTTCATCAAGGGCATCTGTTAGCCCACTAGGATTGGATGAACAGGTGCTGCTGGTTGCAATCACCCCATTGCAATCACCCCATACCTTGCGTTTCATTCTTCAACCGGGGACAATACATAGGTATAGAATAAATATGATATTCGATAAACATCCAAGGATTCATTGTCACCTTTCATCACAGCTTTTGATGAAAGGAGGTGGCCAGGGTCGTTTCCCTTGAAGGAACACATCAACAGAGGTTGCATCAAAAAGGCTATCGGAGCATCAATAAATCTACTGATTATCTAACCATCAAACGATAATAACAAATATCTACCCATGATTTTTCCACCATATGCAGTATATATATATGGATGTTTCCCAAAATGGGAAAGACCCCCAAATCATCCATTTTAATAGTATTTTCCATGATAAACCATCCATTTGTGGGTACCCCCATGACTATGGAAATCCCGAGTCAGACCATGACTCAGTCTTCAAAGCCATGGTGACGACTGGGGATCCCCATGACTCACTGTGATTCTCCAAAAAAACATCGTGTAGGTACCCAACCTGGTTATGACTCACAGTTCGCCGCGTTAATATATGGTTAATCTATGGTTAATCTATGGTTCTATACCCTCTGGATATGACTAACATAGCCATGGTTTGTTGATGGCCCTAATCGAAATAGATGATTTTCCCAGCGACATCAACCTCCATTTATGGTTGGGATTTTCCATGGCTATATTAAATAACCAGAGGGCACATGTCAATGGATTGGTTTAAGGAAAAAAATACTGGAAAACCCATATGAAATGGGAAAATCGATGGTTTCCGGTTTCGATTTTCCCTTAAACCAATCCATTGAACATGTAATTCATGCCCAGTCAACCGTCCATCAGAACTTCAAATGTTTTTTGGTTCTGCTATTGTCAAACAAGGGACCCGTCCCACTGAACTAAAACACAACTATACAACTCTTAACGGAAAATAACATGGACGTTGATAAGTCAGATATCCATCTGTGATTTTCAAATATTAACACTTAATCCCACCTCCTAATATTAAACATCCCCTTTATCCCCTTTTCTATGGTCACAGGATTCACCCATTCCCCTGCCGTATTTTCACGCCTCCGCCTCAGCTGCTTCGGAAGTCTCCATCTGACGTCAGCGGTTCGCGGAAAGCACAGCACTGGAACTGCTGGGAGATATCGCTTGGGAAAGTTGCAAAAACCAATTTTGAACAGGTTGGTTATATATCCGCCAAAATATCCCCACTATGGTTGGTTATGAATCTTAGTTGGTAATATCCATGCTTGATGGTTGAATCACCATTTCATGTAACCTCTTTGCTTGGTATGGTTGGCTTTTTCATTCCCCATTTGCTTGGTGTTTCAACCCCAGCTCGAAGAAACATGTGTCATTCAGACATTCAGGATGAACATTCTAGAAATGAACATACTGTGGAAAAGCTAATGGTTCTAGGATAGCTTATGGCGATGCTTCAATACTCAAACCTCAACTGAGGATACTACGGTTAGCCAGAGCAGCCGGGGGGATGTTTTTGGAGGTTTCCTAAAACATGGGTACCCTCTGGTTATGTCAAAATAGCTATTGAAAATCACCATTTCTAGTGGATTTTCCCATTGAAAATGGTGATTTTCCATAGTTATTTGTATGTTTACCAGAGGGTACCCCAAGCCATGGGTTTTTCCATTGGTTTCACCAATTTGGGGTACCGCTATTTTAGGAAACCTCCATATGCCTACAGTTTTTTTAAAAGCCACAGATTATCACTGGGGACGCCCACCTCGTCTGAGGGATATCCATCAACGACTTTTTTTTGTCCACCAGGATACCATGGTTTTGATCTGGAAACATGAAGTAAATTAAGCACAGCCATAGATCAATATAGATATTCTGCCTACAGATATTATAGATAGTATGTTCCAAGCCAATCATCCCAACTATCATAAACTCCATTAATCACTAGATAATCATAGATCTATCCACCATTAAGATATCCATGATCGTTATCATTGGATATCATTAACTATAGGTGCTACGTACTATAAACATCATCAAATATAGATCGATATTATTTGGTTACATATCATCAACTATATATATAATTACTAGATATCATTTTACCTACAGATATATGAATCGAACATCGTCTATAGATAGAAAAAAAACCTATCATGATACCATAGATGGTATGATAGGAAAACTACTATCTATATAGTATTATATGTATATATATAATATATATATATACATATATTATGATATATTATGTATATCTTGGCAAATTACAAATCCCGCCAGGATATATTTGTCATATCCTGCCAGGTCGCTTTGATGCATGGCGAACTGTGAGGGATGATTCCCCACAATCTAACCATGATTTCAGTGAGGGAGAACGGTGAGGTCGTTACAATTTGACCATATGTATATATATATACATATGAATATATATATATATGATCTTATAATTGCATTTTGTAAATATTCAAAACTCAGCCATGATTATTCCATTTTTAATTGAGTCATAATATATAAATTCCATATTGTCCATTAAATATAATATATTTGCCCATAATGTGGTTAAAACAATAATAAGCCACCACATTTTTGATGGTTTATACAACCCATTTATGGTGATTTTGGGGCTAGTTTATGATTGCTTTAACCACATTATATATATATAACATATATATATGGGTAAATTATAATATTTCACTAGCCTGAATTGTAAGGCCATTTGGGGATGATTTCCCTTATAAACCATGAATCCAGTGAGGGAGAACAGTGAGGTCGTTATAATTTACCCAGATATTAGGGGATATATATATCTCTGGGTAAATTATACATATATATATATATAACTAACTATATTGTATCTAATATCCGGCCAGATTATCCTAATATCTGCGGTTACTCAGTATATATAATTATATATATATATCTGGTTGGTGGTTTCAACCCCTCTGAAAAATATAAGTCAAACGGGATGATTATTCCCAATATATGGAAAAACACAAAATGTTCCAAACCACCAAGCAGAAATCATAGTAAATCATCTTCCGGGAAACCATTGGTTGTCCACATCTTTTTACTTAAAGCTGCCAATCCTCAACCACTGGTCGTCACAGGCTCAAAGAGCAGACAGGGCACCAGGTGAGGTTCCCATTTACTCAGTATATATATATAGGTTTATTGTACTCATAACTATAGTTAATGGGGTTTATAGTTTATCCCATGAAGTCCCCATTAAATCAACCTTAAATTATACATATATATATATATATATGGAAAATCCCTCATAAATGGAGGTTTATAGCTGGGAAATTCATCTATAAATGGGCCATTTTCCATGGTTGACATTATATCCCATGATATCCCTAAGATGGTTGGAAAAATAATATATAAGCCCAACATATAAAATCATATCTGGTTGGTGGTATATATATATATGCTTGAATATCAACTTAAAGTGTGGATCATAGAGGTACAGGATGGTGCCCCCCAGTTATAAGTTGGTTTTTAAATCCCATTGACTAGTTCGTTATATCTGCCATAAACCATAGGTTTAATGGGAGTTATGTTCACCAACTTAGCTAACGAACTGGGGCACCATCCTGTACCTGTTGGCATATATCTGGGTAAATTATAATATTTCACTAACCTGAATTAAGCCCATTTGGGGATGATTTCCCTTACTAACCATGATTCCAGTGAGGTCGCAGTGAGGTCATTATAATTTACCCAGATATTAGGGGAGATAATTATTGACCCAGACTATACTAAACTAGACTAACATCTGTGGTCCCCTAGGTTTTCCATTTTGACCCACATCCATATATGGTAATATTAGATAACCCCCTGGCGCCTCCGCAGTGGCCCTCAACATGGCGCTGTTCAAATCCCCATGCTCCGATCGCAGGGCGCGCAGCGCGCGGGTCCGATCCACCCCAGCCTGGACCCCGGGGATCCCAGGGGGACCGCCCTTTGGGGAGCAAAAATGGCGGGATTTCCACGGGAAAAATTGCAAAACTATGGACAAAATGGTGGATTTCTATGGAAGAATTGGGGAATTCAGGGGCAAAAATATGGAAAAACATGGGAACAATGGGGCATAAACATGGGAAACATTTGGAAAACATGGGAAAACTGATGATTTAATATGTTTTGCATAATTGCGAACCAGGCAAGCATTTAGCTGAGTGGCATAGGGATTTGAAGTGACAAACTGTGAGTTTCCAAGGGAAAACATGTGGGTTTAATTGGAGATTCAAAGTGTAAACGACAAAAGCTGGGAATTCGACTTACCCCAATGTAGCTTCCACCGGCCAAAAATCGCAGTTGAACAAACCGAAATGAGGATTCGACCAACTCACGGGTAGAGATGTAGATTGTCCCTGGAAAAATTCAGGAAACAATTGAAACAATTGAAAGCGGTTCAACTGATGAAGATGCGAACATGGGGGTTTACACGAGAAAGACTATGATTTTCCAGCAAGAACATGTCAGCATTTGGGACAATTTCGGCGTGTTCAACCCGCTTTTTGTTGCTTGACATCGGGATCCTTCTGGTGGCAATTCCTAATCACTGGATAGTAATTTAATGATATGTTTCCCACGTCCATGATATATCTAAGCAGATATCTATAATGTTTAAAACATATAAATCACAAGGTTTCTTGGTTTCTTCGTTTCTTGGTTAAAATCACCATGTTTGCTGGTTGAATCATGTCAGACATCTTTCTTTTGCTGGGTAAATCACGGTAAATCACAGGAATTTCCCATGTTTTCCAGCGTGAAATCCTCATTTTCCAATATCAACGGCCATTTCAGGAACCTAAACTGGAGGGAATATCGCAAAATATGGCATGAAATATGGTACTAACGTAGCTCCATGTATTGGATCCTGGAGATCTCCCATTTTCCCATTTGTTTCAGGGTTAAATCTCCCACCTCCATCAGCATCATCAGCTTCATCGATTCATCCTCTGTGACCTCGGATGCAGTTGAACAAGATGCACCTGTCACCAGCAAAAATGGTGGTTTTACCAGCAACAAACGGTGGTTTTACCAGCCAAAAATTGTGGTTTTACCAGCAACAATGGTGAGTTTACCAGCAAAAATGGCGGTTTTCACTAGCAAAACCAGATGATTTTAGCAGCAACAAACGGTGATTTTGCCAGCAAACCCAGTGATTTATGACAATTTCAACCGCCAAAAATGGTGCTTCAAGCAGACTTCGGATTGGATTTGAGCCTTGCACATCTTTCCAGGAAAATGAATCTATGGAGCCATTCGCCACGAAAACTATATGATGAGAGTAGTAGGATGGATAACCGACAAAAATCTAATCAGATATGTATATATGTATGTATATATTATGTATGCATATATGTCAATGTATGTATATATATATGTATACATTATGTATGTATATATATATGTATATATATGATGCTAATTCAATAATATAATGATGTATAATGATAATAATCCCATTACAGATTGACCGCGTCCTGTGTAGGATCGTAAACTGTCCCTTTTCTGGGACCCAAGTTCGACCCAAAGCATGACATCAAGACCTGAAAAAAAACTGAAAAAACATTACATGCTTAATATACAGCAAAAAATAACATCCCCCAAAAAAACGAAAGAACATGAGATGCTTGTCACAGCGAATACGAGTACAACAAAAAACACGAATTTCCCAACAGTTCGCTGCGGAATTGCGGGAGGCGATCGATCGATCGAATTAGGATGGAAATGATCGCCTTCACAGCTTTCCGAACTATGACTTGGCTGGTTGCTCAAATGGTGAACCTTACAATGTTGGTTTAGATTCGCCCCAGTAACTAGTTCGTTATGTGCGTACCATAAACCATAGTGAAATTGGAGTTATTTGCAGCAACTGAACGCTATCTATCGAACGGGGGCCTCACAGCTAGTAGATATGCCAACACAGCTCTGAGCTTGGTAGGATACCCGGCCCGGTAAACATACAAATAGCTATTGAACATTGCCATAGAAAGTTCGAATTGATTTTCCCATTCAACATGGTGATTTTCCATAGTTATGTTAGTTTACCAGAGGGTAATGAAAAACTAACATAACTATGGAAAATCACCATGTTGAATGGGAAAACTCACTATTTCAATGGCCATTTTCAATAGCTTTTTGTATGTTTACCAGAGGGCATCAAAATTGCCCGCAAAATTGCGGCAGAAATCATCCAATCGCCAGTTTAGATGGAAGAATTCATTTCATTCACTCGGTTTACTCCATTGGTTTTCACCCTGAAGTTGTTGGTCACCCTCTGGTAGTTTAACATGGCTATGGAACATGAACCATATATATATACATATATATATATATGTATGAATTTATATACCTATTGAACATGGTGATTTTCCATAGCTATGTTATTTTACCATACCGGGTAGACGTTTAGATGTTGGTATAAATCCCTAAGAGCGAAAGATCAGCTAGTACTAAACCTCCGATCGAACCTCCAGTAAACTGAGACCTTGCGAACTAGAACATCACCATGTTCAATAGCTAAATCATTGTATATCATCTATAAATGGGCCATTTTCCATAGTTCTGTTACTGTGGATGGTTGCGAAATCCTGCACCACCTTGGATGGTAAATAATGGGATATGATGGGATAAACACCACCGTTTTCAACTGCTGCAGGATTTCGCAACCATCCACGTCGTAGTTTACTTGAGGGCATCCATCTTCAGCACCAGGTCACGTCGTTGCTTGGCGAGGCAGACGAATCACCTTCTGCCTCACCACGGAGCTTAGCCAACAAGAGTTGATTTTATGATCTTCAGTCAGATTTTACTGGATGTTAATGGATTTTAAGGTCTTTTAGCGAATTTTAAGGGATTTTGACAACATTTAATGGCTTTTGAATGATTAACACATGTTGTCTTCAGGGGCTTTGACTACAACCAGGGTCTTCAACGGGCTTTTAACTAACACAGAAGGGGATTTCAACCCATATATTCAATCTCAACCCAGCACCGAGAGGATTGTGCGACAATCCTCATGGGGTTGCATCAGCAATGGTCGGCCACGGAACCCTCTCCCCCTCCCGAAATGGTCTCTTGGAAGCTGATACCCCTCTGGTAAACTAACATATGGAAAATCACATTTTTTTATGGGAAAATCCACTATTTCTATGGCCATTTTCAATAGCTATTTTGACATAACCAGAGGGTACTCCTTCAGAGTGCCACTCCAGAAGAGTTTTCGGTTGCATCTCATCTCTTTCAGCATGTCCATTCAATGTGGTACCCCCCAGTGATGTTTGTTGGTTTATAATCAGTTTGATCACTTCGGAGTGCATGGAATATCCCGAATTATTCAGATAGCCTCTGGGGTGAACAGAAACCTCTTCGATGCAGATCCAAGTATCATAGGACTCCCCAACCAGATGCCCAGCATTTTCTGCGAAAGATTCCCAGAATTTCGAGGTTCCCAACTTTTCTATATGGCTGGGGGTTGCTCGATGGCGAGTTCGATGGCGATTCTGAGCAGATCTAAAAGGGAACGCGTCTTTCAACCAGTAAGTTCTTACAGTTTGCTATTTAACATGTCTCATTTAGTTCGTTGATTTACCGAACTTCAAGATGGTGAATTTTCCGTACTTATCTTAGTTTACTAGAGGGTATGGGAAAATTATGATTTAACTGGAGAAAATAGTGATTTACCCAGCAAAATGGTGCTTAAAGATGGTGATGTTCCATCGCTATTTGTATGTTGACCAGAGAGAACTCACAACTATAAACATCTATAAGCATTTATATAATCATCTATAAACGTCTATCATCATCTATAAACCATAGAAATCCCAGTGAATGCCAGTCACTCCTCACCATCTGAAAAATGTGCGGCGCCTCCTTTTGACCACGTCGCCGAAGCTCAATGATGCGCTCGAAATCCTTCGAACAATCAATGGGACCATCTCCAATCAATGGAGGTTTTCATGGGACAATTCTCTCTGGTTGGTGGTTGACCTAGCCCTCTGAAAAATGATGGAATTCGTCAATGGGGTTGGGATGACATCCCTTTTTGATGAAATGGAAAATAAATGGAAAATAATCCATTCATGTTCCAAACCACTAACCAGTAGTATATTTTGGGGAGAACGATGTATGATTGGATATCCAATGAACTTGATATGGTAGCTGGCTAGTATACCCTGCAATCTTGGATACCTGGCAGGTTTTTCCCTTTTAAATGTTGCTTGGTACCATCTGGTTATGACTAACAGTTCGCCATGGAAAGATCCACCATTTCTAATAGGTGAAGCATCTATTTCGATTAGGGCCATGGCTTCTATGGCAAACCGTTCAATAACCGGAGGGTAAATATCCCCAGTAAAACAGTGCAGTCCGCAGAAGCGTCACATTTTTTTTGGGGGGAAATCACGGGGGGATATGTCAGAATCCTGACACCTTGACATGTCGATTTTCAGTCGTGGAAGCAAATTCACATGCTTTGTCTAACAAAACAAGAACCCCATTGAAACTAGTACCCTCTGGTTATGACTAACATAGCCATGGTATAGATGGCCTATTTTGAGATGATTTTCCCAGCTATAAACCTCCATTTATAAGGGTTTTCCATGGCTATGTTAAATAACCAGAGGGTAAATCATCATTTTCCCCTATGAAATAGCCATGACAAACACCCATATATTGCTTGGTTCACATCAACCTTTGGTGTAAACAGTGTAAACCATCAAATGATCTTCCGATCCCATAGTACAGAGTCATTGTCTTGGCTCCTTCACAGCTTGCCAATCTTCCTTCATCCAAGCCTCTGGAAAGCTGGGGCAAATTTGGCCGAAAGGTTCATAGGTCCATAGGTTCAATGCCCGGATGAATGTGCAAGGAACCATGATGATCCATTTTTCACATGTCATTTGTCACTCATCGTATCATCATATATCCTTATCTTTTGGCTTTATCACATTGCTCATCTTCGGAAGGGATTCTACCCTTCGCTTCGGTCGTTTCTAGTTGCTGGGAGTTGCTGACCTGAAGCGTGTCCATGTAGCTCTTTGCCCTTCAATAAGCCTTGGGTTGTTGCTATATGGGGATTTCTTAAAATGTGGGATTCCCAACATGGATGGTTTATAACAGAAAATCCTATTAAAACAGATGATTTGGAGGTACCCTCATTTTAGGAAACCTCCATATAAATATGCATATCCTCAATATTCCTTTGTATGAGATACAGTAGATATAGCTGCATATGTGCACTGAAATAGTACTGCATGAAGACCACCCAGTTGTAAGTGACTTTCTGACACTATCTAACTACAGATATATCCGTCGTAAATCCTACTTAACTTAGCCTAGTTACAAATTAAATGAACTTACTTTGCGAAATCCATCATTTTCCCCGATGAAATCAGCATTTTTGTTGGTTAAACATGGATAAACCTTCATTTTTCCTGGTGAAATCACCATTTCAGATGGCGCCTGAGTCTTGGCCACTTGTCCCGGGCACAAGACGCTCTCCAGCAAGCCTTGCCTTAGCCGTGCTCGGGGTCAAACGGCTGAGAAAAGAGATACCATCTGGTTATTTAACAGTTCGCCATGGTATAGATGGCCCATAGAAATAGATGGTTTACCTATTAATAGCATGGTGATTGTCCATGGCGAACTGTTAAGTAGCCAGAGGGTAATTTAACCAGATTCTGGCACCTCCCCACCATCTGAAATGGTGAATTCACCAGCAAAAATTATCGGTTTATCCATGTTTTTCCAACAGAACTTGTAATTTAATTAAGGAAAATACCTGGTTGGTGGTTTCAACTCCTCTGAAAAATATCAGTCAGTTGGGATTATTCCCAATATATGGGAAAATAATCCAAATGTTCCAAACCATCAACCAGATTGGGAAAAATGAGGGATTTAATCAGCAAGAACCGAGGCAAAAAAATGGCCATGAAATCATAGCAGCTTGATGAACCATCCACACTTTGGGGACCCTGTTTTGAGCTCAACATCGTATAGGGTTTGTTGGGAAGAGGGATGGAAACCGGAATTAGACATCAATTCATGAAAAAAAAGTCAACCCTGGATTAATAAACCCCTACAGTAGGCTGTTTAATTGGGATCAGTACCATTGAAGTATTGGATGAAATGACTATTGGAGGAGTACCCCCCTAATTAATAAACCATTGTTTATTAATCCGGGGTTGACATTATAGATGACAAGTATGATCAAGTATGAATCATCGCGAGTTGGGTGCACCTCAAATCAAGCAACAATAGTGAAATCGTTGGTGGTTTCCACCGATCAAAAAAAATCACCAGCCAGTCATCCTATGCACTTGAAACCATAGCCCCGTCCCTTCTCAATACTGTCCTTCCTTCAACGCCAAAGTCATCTCCTACATAGGTTTCTACTACATGGCTTTCACTGAACATTATGGGAGCACCAGAAACAATTTGATAGTTCATCATCATTTCCCCCATGAAAACTTGCAGTTTATGGGGCCATTCCCGGCTTCAAAAAAAAGTCGGTAAACATGTGGAATCTAGTGGGCTTCTGACCTCAGCCGGCTGTCTTTTTTCAATACATTTTTTGGGGGTTTCGTCTTTAGTCCCCAGCAAATGGTAAAATTTGGGTCAATGGGGGAATGGGTTATGAATCCAAAACTCACCCTAATAATAATCCACCACATGGTTAAAAAACATTGGCTAAATATTGCTTATTTGTCGTGGATTATGAACTTTTCTGGGGATATTCCGTGTCTTGGGGGGATTGTCTTAAGTCATTGGCTAATCATAGCTACCCTCCGGTAATATAGATTGTTTTCACCTTAACCTCCATTTTGTTCGGGGATTTCCCAGCTAGCCACGTTTGATGAAGTTTTATTCATGTTGGTGAAGCAAGAATAATTGACCACCTATGTTTTGATGGTTTATACTGTGCATTTATGGTAAATATATGGTAAATTGGGGCTGGCTTACTATTGCTTTACTCACATTTATAGATGAGTTTCCCATTTACATTGCCAATCTTAGATACCCTGCAACAAATGACAAATTCTTTGCTGGTGAACGTAGATATTCCCATTAATACCAAAAGACTAGTTAGGATTAGTTTGTATCCATGTAAGATTGACCTAGTTTACAGATGTTTTTTCCCATTGACTTTCCTTTTATAATGGATTTCCCCAGCTAGTCGCGCTTGGTTCCCATAGGGCCATAGGGCCATTTCTGGATGACACGTTTTTCACATTTCACCATCGCCCAGGGACACACTGTTGACGCTGAGTCTGGGAACAAGGTCGTCCCGGTTGACCACCTCAGGGGCATATCCTGCAAAAATCATAGGAAAAACCATAGGAAAATGGAAGTTTCATGGGATTTATAGCTGATTTATGATAGCTAAGTTGGTGCAAATAAGTCCAATTTCACTATGGTTTATGGCAATGATAACGAACTAGTTACTGGGGCGAATCTAAACCAACGAACATCACTGGAGGGCCTCACATTGTGCAATCAATGGGAGTTTCAGGATCCTAAAATGGAGGTACCGATTCCATAGAAATAAGGCCTATTTTTCAGGCCTATGTAAGTGAATATCACCACAAAATATGGCCAAACAATATGGTACAGTACCTCCATTTTAGGATCCTGGAATTCCCATTGATACAATCTCATTTTTTTGGGGTACCCTCTGGTAAACATACAAAAAACTATTGAACATGGCCATTGAAATAGTGAATTTTCCCATTGAACATGGTGATTTTCCATAGTTATGTTAGTTTACCAAAGGGTAAATGTTGGTAACTGTTGGTCCATACATAGAGCATTTAGGATTCTTTTTCCTTGTCAATTTTTTGGGGTTACTGCAGACTTCATCCAATGCTGGGGTTTCCCAGAGCACCCCACTATCCTGCAACCAAGCTCGCGAAACATCTGGTACTAATCAATTTCATAGCTTCACATCAAACATGTTCATCTGTGAATCATGATGTTCTATCAAGAGTAATTACAAATTCGAACAACCCTAGATTATATTTTTTTCCCAGCGCCATTTCTGGATTCTACTTCCAATTTTGGTGATTTTCTGCTTGGAATATCCTTGTTGGCTGCCAGGAAATCTGGCTGAAAACTTCCATCCGATAAAGCCCAAGCATCTGAGACCATACCTGGCCGGAGCCGATCGGATTGCTAGTTCGGGTTATGTTCATCACCCTATATCAATGGAAATTTCAGGATCCTAAAATGGAGGTACTGTACCATATTGTTTGGCCATATTGTGTGGTGATATTCACTTACATAGGCCTTATATTATAGGCCTGATATATGGTAGGTACCTCCATTTTAGGATCCTGGAATGGCCATTGACTATAGCTATGGTTGGTATAGCTATGATCCCCCAGGTATTCGTTTTATGGTCGCTGCCTATCGATTTTTGACCGCTAAGTCCTGAGGACAGAAAGGACAGCGGCTCCGAAACTGCCAAAAGATCGGAACTCTGCAGAATCCCAAAACGTTGTGAAAACCATCTTTGGGTTCATTTGGGAATGGGTCAAAACCATGTAGCCCTGGTGAACATCAAAATAGGTGGCAAATGGATGTTCATCCCCTAATAAACTGTATCTATAGGTATTGATCCATGGCCATTTCCCTTCCAAACTTAGCATCAGCTGGTAATTTTCTTTCGTTTTTGTCACCCTGAGAAATCGACATGGGAATCATAATCACAGAGAATCACATACTGTTGGTTAATGTTGGTTTCTCCATTCTATCACCAGTTACCAGCCTGTAAACTAACATAGATGCGAAAAAAACATTATTTTTGGATAATTTTCCGAACGGGAAACCATGGCTTTTCGATATCTATGTCAGTTTTAGGGATTTTTAGGGTACTATATAACCATTGTAAATCGAAATCACCATCTATACACACTTTATCTTGATTTTTTCATATCTGCCATATCACCTATATGATTCCCATAATATCACCAGTTACAGTACTAACTATTGTAAAATCCCTACAGGATGGAGCCCCATAGTTAGTGAAGTTGGTTTATAACGATAATAATAATAATAAAAATAGTGTATGATACGTAAATAACTATATTTAGATGGGGTTATAAACCAACTTATACCCTCTGGTAAACTAACATAGCTATGGAAAATCACAATTTTTAATGGGTAAATCAACTATTTCTATGGCCATTTTCAATAGCTTTTTGTATGTTTACCAGAGGGTAACTGGGGGGGGCCATCCTGTATGGTATCACCATTTTAAAACCCAGTTGCAGTTCAACAACTGGGGCATGAGGTTTTCGTCCACGCAGGCAGGGGTTCCAAAGCCGTAGCAACCTAGCCGTGGTGATGGTGGCAAGGCACCCCGAAGAACGGGGTCCTCAAACATAGCAATGGGAAATCCCATAAGAAGATGGAAAACTGGTTGGTGGTTTCAACCCCTCTGAAAAAAATATATATATAGTCAGTTGGGGTTACTATTCCCAATATACGGAAAAATAAAACATGTTCCAAACCACCAAACAGAAAATCATAGGAACATATGGGGAAAACCTTGGAAAATCACCAAAATCATGGGAAAATATGGGAACACATACGATGGATATCTATGGATGGTTGCGAAATCCAAATCACCAGTTGGTAGATGGTTAAACATCCCCTTATATATAGTCCGGTTATAAATCCCATTACTAATCCCACTAGTTAACTATGAACTACTATTTCATATCTTAAATCCCATAGTTGCAATATTTACAGTGTTTCATATGTTAAATTCCATAGTTAGCAACTGGTGCAGGATGGCTTGTCCATCCACAGTAGCAATTTGGAAATCTCCGACAAAGATGTAAAGATCATATGAACATATCTGGGCAAATTATAATAATTCACTAACCTGAATAGTTCGGCCATTTGGGGATGATTCCCCACAATCTAACTATGATTTCCAGTGTTCGGGAGAACAGGGTTCGGTCGTGATCAAATTTACCCAGATATATAAATTGCTTTATAAACCCCGTGAATACTATAGTTATAAGTACCATAAACCATAGTGAAATTGGAGTTATTTGCACCAACTTAACTTTACCCAGTAAATATGGGAAAACCCAGAAAAATCTCCCCATCAACGGAACATCCCCCCAGAGGCGATTTTGTTGACATTTTTTCCCCAAAAAATCCATGGCCATGACGAAGCGGAACCGAGAAACATGAAGGAGGTACCCTCTGGTAAACTAACATAACTATGGAAAATCACAATTTTTCATGGGAAAATCCACTATAAATGGTGATTTTCCATAGTTAGTTTACCAGAGGGTACCGATTCCATTTCTAAGGCCTATTTTTCAGGCCTATTTTTTAGGGAATATCCCCAGAAAATATGGCCAAAAATATGGTACAGTAATGTACTAACGTACCTCCATCTGTTGGATCCTGAAGATCTCCCATTGATATAGTATTCTTTCCATAATATCCCATAATATGGTTCTAGTAATAGTAACCCCCAAAAAGCTTGAACCATAAATGACCCTTCGGTAATCATGGCAATGGAGAGTCTCCTATAAATGCAGGTTTTAATGAAATATATAATGAAATATATGGGGGTTTCCTAAGTCATAGGGGTACCCCTAGTTATCATCCATTTGTAGATGGATTTTCCCTTTTAAATCATTCAGCGATAAAGGGGTACCCCCATTTTAGGAAACCCCCATATATGAAAAACATCAGTCAGTAAATATCTGGTTGGTGGTTTCAACCCCTCTGAAAAATATTAGTCAGTTGGGCTTATTATTCCCAATATATGGAAAAATAAAATAAATGTTCCAAACCACCAATCAGAAAATCATAGGAACATATGGGGAAAACCTTGGAAAATCACCAGAATCATGGGAAAATATGGGATTGTCCATTAAGAATGATGATTTTCCATCAGTAAATATGCTGGAATTGCCCATTGCCAGGTTAGTTCTTACCGCAGGGCAGCATTTTTTTGAGTTCAGCGAGAACCCGGAGATGTGGGGTGAAGGGCAAGCCCTAAGCCGGGCATTCCTAATCAAATCTATACTGCTTGGTGGTTTTAAGCATCAATGGTTCATGGGGATGTCTATATATATATGGTTAATATATGGCAATTATATGGTTACTGATGGATACTGATGGTTAATAATAAACTGGTTGGTGGTTTTAACCATCTTGGAAAATGATGGAGTTCGTCAATGGGAAGGATGACATCCCATATATGATGGAAAATAATCCAAATGTTTGAAACCAGCAACCAGCTATAAAACATATCATTGCCAATCCTAGATACCCTGCACAAAATCAAACTGCTAATGTGGTTAAAACAATGTCATAAACAATCCCCAAAATCACCATTTTTATAGGTGGTGTAAACCATTCCCAAATGGGTGGTTTATGACATTGTTTTAACATTACTGGTTGGTGGTTTCAACCCATCTGAAAAATATGAGTTCGTCAGTTGGGATGATGAAATTCCCAATATGATGGGAAAGTCATAAAATTCCATGGTTCCAAACCACCAACCAGCTTATAAACTTGAATAAACATGCATAGACATTTATTTTAAAACCATTAGCCATGAATAAACATCGTATTTATAGATGATTTTTCCCCAGCAAAATTAAACTGCTAGATCTTGTTCTCTGGTCATCATAGTATATTCCTCTTGAACTCGCGATTCTTCTGGGTTGTCACTAGCCATCCACTGGGTGGAACCCGCATGAAAGCCATCGACGATTCGCCAATGGGATGATTTTCCAAGTCAAGCCTGCAAAACGTCAACCGTTGAAGGGTAAACAAAATTCTTTCAACGTTGCCATCTTGAAGTCCAGAATCACATTTTTAGCATTGCTGTGAGTAAATGCAATAGTAACTGTTTATAGCTTTTCCATCGTTTTTCCACTGGTTGGTGGTATACCTACCCCTCTTAAAAATATTAATCATTTGGAATTCATTTGGGGTTACTACTCCCAATATATGAAAAAATAAGATTCATGTTCCAAACCACCAATCAAAAAATCATAGGAACAGATGGGGAAAACCTTGGAAAATCACCAAAATCATGGGAAAATATGGGATTGTCCACTAAGAATGGTCTAAACCACCAACGTGTCTCCATCACTTTCTCTGACATTTCCCATCCAGGCGACACAGGCTGGAGATGTGCGGCCGCAAGATGAGTGTCAGCAAGGCACCCACACCCGCACCCAAAGAATGGCCCAAAAGGGTGATGCGGTAGCCTGTCGAATCGACAACGCTTACATACCCGGGACAGCGGTAGAAGGTGGTGCCGAAAATAGTTAGCTAAGTTGGTGCAAATAACTCCAATAACTAGGGTTTATGATGAATATATCAACAGTTACTATGGTTTATTAACCAACTTATAACTGGGGGGGAACATCCTTGTAAAACCGGTGAAAAATCCAAGGTATTCCAAGGTGAAACCAGGAAACAAGCCATGGACAAGGTCAATTTATTGAGGAAACTTATGAAACTGGTGAACCTGCTAACCATATTTTTGAAACGGTGTGAAATCACGTGAAACCCATGAAAAACCACTGGTTTACCACCATGTTTGGCCGTCACCAATTTTCACGAACGAACGATCTTGGTGATGTGGGCATGTCAATGAGAGTAGCCACTGTACAGCCACCTGCTGGGTGAAGCGTCCATGTCCGGTATTGACACATACCGCTGTCCGATGCCGTGACCAGCACATCAATCGTCCGCGCTAAGAACGATGGCGTGTAGTTTCCATAGTCATGGGGGTACCCCAATAGATGAATGGTTTATAAGGGAAAATCCATCTATAAATGGATGATAACTAGGGGTACCCCTATGACTTGTCGGAAACCTCCATACGAAGGCAGCTTTCTCTTCAAAGAAAGAGAACTATCTGAATCATCCATTCGATTGAGTCTTCCAAAGTCCAGCTTGGATTTGTGATCCAGGACCCCAAAAACATAACATTCCCACGGGATTCGATTTGACCCAAAAGCATCCAAAAAATGATACCCTCTGGAAATCAAATGTGGTAGTGGAACATCTGCATTTTTTTTTGATGAATTTCCCACTAAAACCTCCATTAATAGGGAATATAGCTGGGTAAATGAATTAAATGCTTGCCTGTAGGGCCAAGTTAGATTGGCTCTAGGATTCCTCTATGATTGTGGGAAAATTGGTCTCATTTCTAAACTTCAATTTTAGACCATAGTAACGTTGCCATAATGTGCCCCATTGAATTACTAACTGGGGGTGCGGGACCCAACTAGTACGGGCTTAATAGCTCATGCACAACCGGGGTACCCTCTGGTAAACTAACATAGCTATTGAAAATTGCCATTTATAGTGGATTTTCCCATTAAAAATTGTGATTTTCCATTGTTATGTTAGTTCACCGGAGGGTATATCCCTCTGTAAAACTGGGTGAATGCATGCAGTTATTAACTGCGTACTAATTTTGGCTCTTGCACATCCAACCCGCACAACCAAATACTGTCCATGAGATGGTCATCCGATACTGCCTGTTTCTGGCATGTACACAATCAGATAAACATGTTGTCCTAAGTTTTTCCAAATAAAAATCCAAACATGAAATATCTGGCTGAATTGTAGGTGTTAATAATTCAATAACCTGAATATAAGTGAAATGAAAGCATTTGGGGGGCGAATTCCCCCTACCAGTGAGGGCAAATATTTCAATGGATTCCGCATCTTCGCCGCACACAAAGGGACATTCATTGACAGCATGCTCCAAAAAGAAGATGTGTGTCGCCTTAAGCATCTAGAATAGCCAGCCTCAAGCATCCCTGGGAATGCAGGCCTCTTTTGCTTCGATATCTATTGGGGGAAGCGGCCAACAAACTAAGCACAACCAGCAGAACTCACAAAGACATTGCATGATAAATCGCCACCACTAGGAGCACGAAAGCTTTGAAGACTCGATGGCAAGGTCACCCGCTCCAGGCTTTGGTTGAAGTACTTGCCAAAATGCAAGCTTTGAAGACCCGATGGGAAGGTCACCCGCTCCAGGCTTTCGTTGAACAAATGGCCAAAACTCAAGCTTTGAAGACTCGATGGCAAGGTCACCCGCTCCAGGCTTTGGTTGAAATGAAAGCCAAAACTCAAGTCTTGAAGACTTGATGGCAAGGTCACCCGCTCCAGGCTTTGGTTAAAGTTAGAGCCAAAACTCAAGCTTTGAAGACTTGATGGCAAAGTCACCCGCTCCAGGCTTTCGTTGAACAAATGGCCAAAACTCAAGCTTTGAAGACTCGATGG